TTGTTAACTGTTTCGATTTGTACCCAGCGAGATTGTGTGTCGGGAAAAAAGCAGGGTGAAGCCTCAATAATAAAAATAATTCACAAGACGTTTTGTATTTCTGTCAAGTTTAACAGTAATTACACAAGGGTTAATACAATTGACAGCAATCGATTTAAATTGCGTGAACACGCCCTAGTAACACAATTTATTGGCGATACATTGGTTAAATATTGGTTATATTGGCCTGCATTGGGAATAGATTGGCCAATGTTGTCCAATATAAGGCCAATATTGGCAACAAATTAAATACAAATGCATTTCTAATATTGCGTATTATTACATTACCAATATTGGGTAAATATAGAAATACTAGTTTTTGCCAATATTACTCGTCATAATATATAATATATTAATAAGTATATTTAAAGTTCGAGGAAAGAGAATTATAATGATTTTAGTGATAAATGATAATTAAACGATATCTTTTATTTAATTTTATTTTATATAAAATACAGAGAAAATTATTATGACATAAAATTGTGTGATGTGTGTATGATACTTGTAATTTGTAATCAATTTTAGTCGACAGTTATAATAATTTCTATGTTGATTTATATCTATAAAGTTTAACATATACATATATCATCTATGGCTGCATTCCATTTAACGTTTACAACGTTTTTGGAATCATTTTATATATGTTGTTTATGAAATGTTAAACAAGGACAAATAATGTCGCGAGCGTTATGAGTGTTAAGTGCTACGCAGCTGGCTATAATGAACGCACGAACGAACATTATTGTTTCTATCTCGCATGTGTGCTGTGTGAGAGACCCAATCACAGCAAAGCCGGTTGCCAAATCAGAAGCTTGGAAATAACGACTTTTAGAATTTAGATATTTACGATACGTGGTATATGTATATGGTACAGAGTGCACAGCACATTGGTCGAATAAATTTTAAGAAGTGATAAGTGTAATGAAAAGGTAAGTTTTTTCTTCTTGAGTAAAATTTGTAATGGAAATACATGCATAAGGAAATAATACGTTGGTTATGCCGATTTAAAAGGTTAAAGGTTATGTTTGATTTTTCTTTTTTATGTATGTATTATTATATAAATAAATGATGCTATGTCTGCGTTCCGTTTCACGCAGCATATGATGTGCATGGTATACCATTTTATCTTTATATTTCACCAAATGGATAATACGTACATCATACATAACCATGCGTGAAACAGAACGCAGCAGGGCACGTTCAGATTTCCACTTAAGTACCACCCAGGTATATTTTTGTTATTGAATAGTAAACAAAGATAACATATACAATATCTGAGCAGCATTCGGAAGAAAATCTGAATGCACTCCTATGTAAGTAATTAAAGGTGGGACTTAATTAGTGGGACCTGTTTGACTACGGTTGCGATTGACCACAAGCCATTCACAATGCTTGTCCAGTGAAAAAATTCTAAGCATTGACTGCCTCTGACAAGTGTTATGGCCAATTGCAACGTGATTGAACAGGACACTTTGTAGCAGTTCGATATTCTGTAAAGAGATATTTTTTATTATATTTTCTGTGTTATTATGATAAGTATAGATACATAATATTGTCATTTTTTTAATTATTATATATTTTGCAGGTTGTTACGCTATTTCCCTTATTCTATTTTCCTTGTATTTCCTTTATATCATACTTAAATTTCCTTTTTCTCCTTCAAAAAGGATTTGTATTTGTATTAATATATTATTACGTTTAGTTAGCAAAAAATATATTTTATTAAAGCTTTAATCAAATACACGGCATACTTCTTAAAACATTTGCAATGTTTTCAAAAAGACGTATGAAATGGAAAAGAATAAACGATAGAGTTAAAAGAAATTTTGCATTATTTAATATAGAAAACAGTGAAATAGATTATCAGTTTGAAAGTGATGAATCAAGGTCGGAATATTCTGAAATGCCTCTTCATCGTGATCAATTTGATGAACAAGAACTTTCTTGTAATAGAACTGAGTCAATAAATGAAAATCAAAATATAGATTCTGACTGTGCAAATAATGATACATTTTTTAATGAATCATGTTCTACACTAGAATATTCTTTATCTGACAATGAATATTATTTACCACAAAATAATTTTAATACAGAAAACTGTAATGTGTTAAGAAGTATCACAGAAGATATTAATTCTACTCTAGCAAGTGATCTTGCCCAGTGGGCTATTAAATATAAAATTTCTCACACATCTTTAAATACTCTTTTATGTATATTAAAAAAGCATTCTCATATTTTGCCTTCTGATGCTAGAAGTTTATTGAAAACTGAAAGAAGTGCTCTGGTTTATGATAGATGTAACGGAAAATATTGTTATTTTGGAATTGCCGCTAATTTGGAAATTTTATTTTTAAAAGTATCTGTATTGACTTCACTACAAAAAATAAATTTGTTTGTTAATATAGATGGATTACCATTAAGCAGTAGTTCAACAACTCAATTTTGGCCAATATTATGTAAAATAGATCAATCATTATGTAAACTTGATCCATTTATTGTCGCTGTGTATTGCGGCCAATCAAAACCTTCAAATGTACATGAATATTTGAAAGATTTCATACAAGAGTATAAGATGCTTTGTGACGACGGATTAGTTATTAATAGAAAACGATATACGGTTACAATTTCAGGCTTTATTTACGATACACCCGCTAGAGCTTATGTTAAAGTAATAAAAGAACATACAGGCTTTTACGGTTGCGAAAGGTGCACAACAAAAGGAATACATCCATTTAGTGCAACAATATTCAACGAAATTGATGCTAAAATTAGAACAAATAGAAGCTTCCGACTTCAAACGCAGTTAAAGCACCACAATGGTATATCCCCTTTAATAGAAATAAATTTTCCTATGGTTACAAAATTTATATTAGATCCAATGCACTTAGTATATTTAGGAGTCATTAAAAAAATATTTTTGCAAATAGTGCAAGGAAATAATTATTTTTGTAAAATAGACGCAAGAGTTAATCTTTTGTCAGAAAGGCTAGAATTTTTGCGTAAATACATTCCTATAGATTTTGCAAGAAAACCACAAAGTGTAAATAAAGTAAAAAGTTGGAAAGCTACTGAACTACGCCAATTTCTTTTATATACTGGAGTTTTTGTTTTGGATGGAATTATTTCAAATGAGCATATTGAACACTTTAAGCTTCTTCACACAGCTATTTTTATTCTTTCGCATCCAAATTTAGCAATCCAATTATGTAACTATGCGCAGTCTCTATTAATAATATTCGTTGAAACTTTTGATGAGTTTTTTGGACCTGGTTCTAGAATTTACAATATTCATAATCTTATTCATTTTCCTGATGATGTTAGAAATTTTAATAGGCCACTGGATGATATAAGAGCATTTGATTTTGAAAATTTGCTCGGGAAAATAAAGAGATTTCTTCGGTGTGGAACAAAACCCTTATCACAATTATCGCGACGACTTTCTGAAAATGCTTTTATTTCTTCTCAATATATTTCTAAATCGGAGTTAAAACATAAACATGAAGATGGACCACTTTTATTTGGCATGGAAAACACTGTCGATCAATATAAAGAGATAATTACAGACAAATATCACTTTAAAACTAATCATAAAGCTGATTCTTATGTATTGTTAAAAAGTGGCAAAGTTGTACAAATTTTTAATATTGTCATCGAAAAATTACAAAATATACATAGTGCTAAATTAATTTGTAAATTATTTTTAAAATATAATAATTATTTTAATTATCCATGCGAATCTCGGAAATTAGAAATATTTGGAATCAGTAAATTGGAAGAGTCATTTAAAATAGTTTCCTTATTAGAAGTGAAAGCCAAATGTATAGTATATAAAGACAATGTTTCGTATATTGCATACCCTCTTTTACACACAATTAATAATATATAAGAGTACTTAACATAATTTTTTATTGCTTTCAAAATAATTTCTTTGTCAAGAAAGTTTTTATAATTTATAAGACAATAATATTTGAATATCTTTTTCATTGAAATAAATATTCTTGTATGTAATTTCACTAAAATAAATATTTTTGTATGCGTAATTTATATATTTTCTCGAGTATT